TTAACCAGGATGGTATATCACCCACTGACGATAAACTCGATGCCATCCAAAGTTTTCCTTTGCTCACTTCATTTAAACAACTTAAGCGTTATTTGGGTATGATTAATTCCTACAGACACTTTATTCCGAAGGCTGCGTCATTGTTAGCACTACTCACTAACCTCTTATCCGGAAAACCAAAAAACATTTCATTTGGCCGACTCCGCTATTTCTGCTTTTGGACAAGTCAAAACATCGCTAGCGGACTCTTTCAAGTTGTTTTGTTCACAACCCAACTCTGTATTGTCACTTAGTGTGGACGCCTCCAACGACGCTGTAGGTGCTGTTTTACAACAAACTATCAACTATACCCATCAGCCCCTCACATTTTTCTCTCATAAACTGTCACTAACCGAGTCCCGTTACAGTACGTCTGGTCGTGAACTGCTCGCTAGTTACCTATCCATTCGTCACTTCCGACACTTACTAGAAGGTCGCGAATTTCATGTTTATACGGATCACAAGCCACTGACTTCAGCAATAAAAGCAACACCGGACAAATACTCCCCTCGTGAAATTCGCCATTTGGATTACATTTCACAGTTCACCAACGACATTCGACGCATCTCAGGGCGTGCCAACATAGTTGTTGATACCTTGTCAACGCCGTACATCCGGCGTCGTTCTCAATCACATGACAGAACTTCGAAAAAAGGAATTATCTTCGACGTCACTAAGTTCAGTCATCTCTGAATATACAGCCGATGGCGCTAACAACCGTACCAGGAACTATAGAGTGTGATACTGGGACAGTTACTCCAGGACCCCTGGTCTCATTCTCCATGAGCCGAGTAGTTTTCGTCACATAATATCTCACATTCAAGTAAATGCTCAACACAAACTCATCTCCCAGCAATTCGTACGACGGAATTGAACACAGACATTCGCGAATGGGCTAGCACCTGCCTAGCATGTAAACGTTCTAAAGTTATTCGTCATACCCGATCATCCATAGAAACTTTCGCTGCTTCTGACAGCAGATTCGATCACGTACACATGGTTATAGTGGATCCTTTACCCCCATCCAACTGCTACTCCTGCATACTCACCATTGTAGATCGTTTCACTCGATGGCTCGAGGCCATTCCTATCAAAAACAAATGTGCAGACACCGTTTCTCGAGCATTTGCTTGCCGATGGACTTCCACATTCGGCGCCCCCTTATATATTACTTCTGGCTGCGGCTCCCAGTTCGACTGTCATCTATTCCGAAATCTGACAGAATTGCTCGGTTGCGCACATTCTTTCGACGGCTTATAATACTCAGGCGAGTGGATTAGTTGAAAGGTTTCATCGTCGCTTGAAGTTCGCTATGATAGCTAACAACGATCCCAATAACTGGTACGTCGTGTTATGAGTGGTACTACTACACCTACGCACCATGTTTCGTTCCTCATCAAATTTTACACCAGTGGGGTTAGTTTTTGGAACCACTTTACGCATTCCAGTGCAGAAACCCCGACCAATTCACCCTCCTACGTGAATCAATTGAGAGAAAATATGTCAATACTCTGATATCATTCATCTCGCATTCCCAATAGTTCATTATGTTTTAACAGACTTATCATCTTCGTTTTAATACGTCCTGATCGTGTTAAAAAAATCTTTGCAGCCCCCATATAACTGTCGTTATCTTGTGATTTCTAGACACCCCAAATATTTCATTATATAATCTAACAACAAATCTGATACAGTCACTATCAATCGTTTGAAACCAGCCGATACTGATTTGGTTGACTCAGGACGTCCTGGAAACTACACAAGTGATGTCAAGCCCAAAAACAACGCAACCGAAGTTTCTCCGAAGCCAACTCATGCCACGTCTCCAAATGCATAATGCAGAACCACACTCTCCGGCCATCATGTTCACTGGCCTATTCGTTTTGTGTTTGGAAAACCCTAACTGTAAAATACATCCTTCCTTTTAGGGAAAGGGCATTGGTCGCCATGTCTTCACCACAAACATGACTACAGATCACCGCCACTCACTAGATCACGACGTCTGCTTTTTTCTACCACTCAGAAATCACGCGACAGGATCGTGACCCATTTGACCACACAGCTCGCAGCCGAACCCTAGATCCCAGGGCTCGCCTCCCTCCCCTACACGTACAAATCACGACACACAAGTGTGCATTATCTGACATCGACTGTCTGACGTCTGAGCGGTGTAGCAACAAACCATGTGCTGCACGTGGAGGGTGGGACCAGGGGACCTGGAGTAACTGTCCCAGTATCACACTCTATAGTTCCTGGTACGGTTGTTAGCGCCATCGGCTGTATATTCAGAGATGACTGAACTTAGTGACGTCGAAGATAATTCCTTTTTTCGAAGTTCTGTCATGTGATTGAGAACGACGCCGGATGTACGGCGTTGACAAGGTATCAACAACTATGTTGTCACGCCCTGAGATGCGTCGAATGTCGTTGGTGAACTGTGAAATGTAATCCAAATGGCGAATTTCACGAGGGGAGTATTTGTCCGGTGTTGCTTTTATTGCTGAAGTCAGTGGCTTGTGATCCGTATAAACATGAAATTCGCGACCTTCTAGTAAGTGTCGGAAGTGACGAATGGATAGGTAACTAGCGAGCAGTTCACGACCAGACGTACTGTAACGGGACTCGGTTAGTGACAGTTTATGAGAGAAAAATGTGAGGGGCTGATGGGTATAGTTGATAGTTTGTTGTAAAACAGCACCTACAGCGTCGTTGGAGGCGTCCACACTAAGTGACAATACAGAGTTGGGTTGTGAACAAAACAACTTGAAAGAGTCCGCTAGGGGTGTTTTGACTTGTCCAAAAGCAGAAATAGCGGAGTCGGCCAAATGAAATGTTTTTTGGTTTTCCGGATAAGAGGTTAGTGAGTAGTGCTAACAATGACGCAGCCTTCGGAATAAAGTGTCTGTAGGAATTAATCATACCCAAATAACGCTTAAGTTGTTTAAATGAAGTGAGCAAAGGAAAACTTTGGATGGCATCGAGTTTATCGTCAGTGGGTGATATACCATCCTGGTTAAGCGTAAGGCGAAGAAAATTTAATGTAGACACGCCTGTTCATTCTGTTTGCACTGGTTTTGTTCGTTCCTCAATTTACTTCTAGCCCTTATAGGGGAGGATTTTGTAATAATTGCTGAGTGCTCTAATTGGTTGTGCGGATGTGGTGACCTAGTCGGAGACGTCTGAACACGCTGCTTCAAATGCATATATCGGTTTGGTTCACAATTTTACTGTATACTACCTATCCTCTGCATTCTGGTGCACCGAAAATTATTCTCTAGTCTAACTCCAGCCGTGAGCCAACTCTTTTGCGAATAGCCCTCTATTTCCTTTTTATTATCCCTTGCTTACTGCTGGTGTTTGGGTCACAATGTACTCATAGCCAGGCTCAAAGCCTTTTTTCCCGGCAAATCAATTATTCGTTAACTTTTGAGTGTGTCCGTTATTTCTGTTAGTGTTCAAAGTGTTCGTTCACTTACGTAACGAACACTGACAATTCATTCGCTACTGGTACAGGTGTTCGACTTGACCTGATATGCATACTGCTCTTCAGTCTATTTATCTAATTGAATTCGTAGTATTATATTCCCGAACGGGTGCTTCCGGGTGCCAAATTTCATCCAAAAATGAATTCTTAGTGTAAACTACTATAAATGGTTTGAGGGAATAGATATTTGGTACTTGCTCACTAGTCTGCCGTCTACTTTCCGTTTAATGTTGTCGTTTAAACCTCACCCCTGAAAACGTAAAAAAAATGTAGTCATCATGGTGAATCTGACGAATAGAAACTCCTTTTCTTATGAGCCCTGAGTGTGAAAATCCACATGACATTGTTTAACTATTTTGACGAACTCATCTCCGGAGTATATTTCGTTATCGAAAGTCGCTCACCAGCGGCAACATCACATGACCTTGACTTGAGAAAATGAATCTTTTTTCAAACCACTTACGCTTTGACTTTTTCGGACCCCAACAACACTTGCCATGCCCAGAGCGTGTTGTGATATTCGTACGGGTTTGTGCAGATCTCAGCAGGTCATATGCATTCAAAAACAGTCTAAGCTTAGAGGGATCGTATCAAGTTTGAGGATCCAAAGTTAGGGGAAAGATGAATTATGTAAAAATTACGGGTGGCCTCAGTAGCACTGGACACACTTTGCACTTGATTCGCCCTAGGCCGTGTTTACTCCCGTTATCAAGGAGTCCTACGGTATAGCAAACAGGACTGTCTGCACGCTATTCCTGCCATTTAAACCGATCGCTCTGCGGGAAGCACTTGAGCCAGAAGATTATCGGTCTACCTTCGACACGAATACTGACATAGGGCAGTGTGGAACATGAGCTTTTGTCTTGCTGGGAGCGGATGATGGCTATCACTAGCTAGCTATACGTGTGCAGGTATGCGTCGCCTAATGAGTACTGGTCACCAAATGACATTTTGCATGCACCGGGAGGCACAACTTTTCAGTTTCAAACTGAATTTAGAACTTCCACCTGTTCGCCCTCAAACCTTATCCTCTAGGTTCGCACTGATTAAATGAAGTTCAGGTGGATGACAATCGGCTCAGGTTAAACCCTAGGTGGCATTACCCGCTGTGTGTGGGGGCTACTCGATCTGTTTCGATGTGACAGGCCAATCCCGAAATGGATGTCAGATCACCATCATGAAATCGGAGTTCATTGAGGAATTTTTGTTCTGAATATCAAACAACAAACAATGAGAGCTCGTCGACTCACCACTTCCAGAGACGTCCACCGCTAACGGGTTAATTTCCAGGAAGGTACAATCGCGTTTGATGAATAGGCTATACAATGCACCGATTTGTTCTGCCGCTTCAGCTATCCCAGCGTCGTTTGGAATACGCAGTTGCTTGGCGAAATTGGATGCCTGATCTGGATGCAACCCTTTGGAGATATCTACTGGAAGCTAACGAAGGAAAGGAGGGAAGTGGGATATTAATTTTCAAGGAGGTTCCAGCACATAGGACGAAGGCATCTGTTCTTAGTATTCAGGTGATTTATGATCACCTTAATCAGCACCATTAATCAGAGTTTCGCGATTCCATTATCAGAGATATACGTAACTGTCGGAGAATGTTTCATGGACATCCTCACTATCGATAAGAAGAGACCAACTGCAAACAATAATGCCCAACTATCATACAAATGTGAAAAAAGCGTGCCTCAAAATAGGAATCGAAAGTGAAAAGCTAGGAATCCGTCGTCAAAATGCTTCACTTCCTCAAAAGAATCGGTAAAAGTATGTCTGTGTCTCTGAAAAATTATAAATTGATCTCATTTGACCGCTATATCGGGGTCAGATATCATCAGAGAGATTGTAAAAGACAGACGGGACTCTGAAGACCCGCGTCTACCGTAAAGAAACATATACGAATCAAATGCAACAGTAACCATCTAATGAACTGCGTCCAAACTCTGCCCAAGAGGGCGGAGACACATCGCAGCACCAGAAAAGAAGGGAATAAAGAGGAAAACCATTTACTAAGAGTAATCATGAACAATGGATATCCAAAGAATTTTACCAAGAGAAGCTTGAAGAGGACACCTCAGCAACAGCAGAAGGAGGAACAAGCGACACCAAGCATATATCTGAACATATCTCATAGCCAGATTATAAGCTCAAAGTGGAACCCTCCTAGCCCATAAACAGAATGCCACTTTACGGAAACTGATCTTAACGCCTAAAGACCACCAAGACACAAATAAGGGGAACAATGAGATACGTCGAATCAACGGCAACAAGCTATTTGTTGAAAAAAATTGCGACAGAATTCTACTACAAATAAAGTGACGCAACGCGGTCGTCAGGAGACGTGAAACTCCATCATTGATATCCATACATGAAGACCAAGATCACAAATTCAGTTTGAAAAATGCAGAAATCTTGGTACATGGGGAAACGAGACTCGGAAGGAAATTTCTAGAAATATTGTACTCCATGACGGATTCGATCAAGCGACGCATTGAATTTGACCCGGTTTGTACACCACTACGTGCAAAGGGCCAATATCTCAACCCAAATACTCAGAGGGCCGAATATCGGATTAACCAAGAGACAATAAATACCTTGGAGTCGGATCAACAAAGGTCACAAACCAGAACCCAGAGAAGTCAAGAAAGGAGGTCACTCCAGCACCGACCAGAGCACGAGATCGGAGGAGGCCGACCTCAAAGTTCACGTGGTCACCGACCAATCAGGACGCAGGGTTGTAGACCTAGCCAAGGAACCGTTCTATCGAACTATCAATCATGATCGAAAGTGAGTCCCATCTAGTAATATGTATATTAACACACATGCAACACTGCCGACACATCGGAACGCTCCATTAAACTCACTAACAACACATTGCTGATGTCACCCCGTTTGGTGAAGAAACGTCTGCACTCAAATTACTCAGTGAACAAACCAACGACCGATAAGGTTACCCGAGCTACCAACATTCTCCTCCATAGCGTTCTTTGTAAGCGCGTGCCTAGAAAATCGCCACGTATAACAGTTGACATACTTGAGCTAGATAGTCCGGCTAGAATACCACAGCATGTTTACCACTAGGATAAGTGTTTTATGTTCTTAAGGAGGGATGAGTAGCCACAAGCACGGAGATTCGAACGGGCCCGGACAAAAAGCACAATAATCTCAAAGAACCATGGCTGATGGTAGCTACTCTAACTTCATGCTATCAGGCAATGGTTTGCTGTAAGAGCTCTTAGATGGCAAGACTCTGAATGGAAAACAATGGTAAACAATGTAGTATTTAGTGTGATAAATGTCCCCATGTTTATAGATTTCGCCAGCTTCTCTGAAGATCCTGATTTGTTGCAGTTCATTCTTTCACGATAGTGCTACAGCCGACTAATTACTTTCACTCAGCAGAGATAGTACCCATAGAATATTTGATAGCATGTATGTAATTCTGACTGAATATGGTGGAGCTTGCAGCTAAAAGTTATAACTGCCCTTATATCTTCCCCATACACGAGGCCCTTGTGCTTCAGTAAAAGTTGTTTCAGACTTCATAAATAACGCAAGTTGGCCTTTCACCAATGGGTGAGTTGACTTTCTCCTTCACAGTAAAATCGAGGCTTGTATAGCTATGACAAAACACAAAATGAACCACAGGATCAAAGTTTCGAAATGATGAAAAGTTAAAAAATGCTGAAGCTAGACCACACTTTGCTGACTGCAGGTTAGAAAGAAATGGACTTTCCCTTCGAAGATGTAGACACAGATCAGCCACGAGGATATTTTCATGAGCAAGATTGTTTTTTCGGACTGTCATGCTGCAGTACTGGACAATCTCACGCAGCAGTCATTGAGGGTTGGGTTAGCAGTAACAGTGAAGGCAGTAGGGGCCCGCATGCATTTGTGAGAGAATCGGAGATAAGTATCTTCAGGTTATCTCAACTAAAGATGCTTGTGCTTCATGAGTAGCAGTAGCGCTTGCGAAATGCGAATAAAACCTTAACGGGGAAGCGCGAACCGAGAATAGTTTAGACAAAGTGGGCTTCTCCGGTCAAGCCATTACCCGAAACATTTTGAATGAATTCTTAAACTATACTGGGAACATATGCTTTTTTGGGGGGTAATAAAGAAGTTTCCGTATTTCTCGAACCTGTAGGAACAGAACGACTTTAGGGGGTTTCAGGCTTGCAAATGGCAGTTTACTTGGAAACACTGGTGTCCAAGTTAGCTTGTAGCTTCCTTGTTCCTTCAACCAACTTCGCTTAATTTGTCTAGTACATCTGTGCTCATTAGATCACGCAACTCCTTTATTCCGCACAAATCACGTGACAAAACCGCGTCCCACTTGCAACCTAAACCAGCAAATCAGTTTCAATCTTGTACACACGTAAAGCCTTCCTATATACAGGAAGACAGCACAGTCACCACATACACGGGCGCAGGAAGTCAACCAAACTCCACAAGTCCACGGACAATAACGGAAAACGTGTAGCAGCTATCCTGCGAAGATACCACGCTCCGCATCCGGACTTTCACCTGAGAACTCTCACGGGTTATCCACAAACGATAAGTCACCTTTTTCACTTATTCCATTGTCCGCACTGTATTTATTTTATCACGGTGCAACTTGTAACTGTAAACTACTATTTACTTTAGTTAAAACCGTTATTAGTCATATTATGGCCATCATAAGCTGTACACCAATAAGCCTACTAATTATTCAGCGTCCATGAAACTTGAATGAGCCATTAAAATGCAGTCAGTGAAAAATGCATGCGTTCTCCTGGTCTCACGCGTATTCAAAAATATAATTCTTTTCCTCACAAATAAACGTTGTTTTTGCATTCGTAGTTTCCGTAGTATATGAGGGTAAATAAAAGTTACAGAAAATACAACGGATTAATCGAGTCTACCCCCTGTAATATCTAGGCCTGAATTTTGTGTAAAAATTAGTCATTCTTGACCTCGTAACTACAGTCGAAGTCATATTCAGCACACTGGATTGCGCGTATGAATACTTTGGCTCTGCGTCCTAAAATCTCCAGGCACTCGTTCGAACAATCGGTACGGAAACTGGCAACAAGGACACTGACATCGATTAGCAGCTACGTCTTACGGCAACTCCAACCACACACAGCCGGACCCCACCGTAGAAGGCATGAGTACACAGATTTATTTGTGATCTCCTTCATAACCCTGTTCCAGGTCAGGGTTTAGACAGCTCTTTGAGGCACTCTGGAGTGAGCGGGGAAAACAGAATGCGCAGTACTTGGTATAGTCATCGTAGATTTGGACGCCAGACACATTCTCCGATGTTCCCAAATCTCACATTAGCATCAAGGTGGGACTGTTTTTAGATACATCTTCCATTTTCAGTGAGAACAATTTCGGACATAATAGCAGGTATTCGGCACGTGTAATTTTCAGACGATTTCATTCAGTCTTTTATCGAACTAGAAGGAGATCACCCGCGAGGGTGTTTAAGCTGTTTCAAACCAAATATTTCCATCTTGATTCGTTTCTAAGTCCACAGTAAACAATCAGTTTCCAGCAATGTTCCTGCGAAATGGTTAAGGGCGTCATTGTTGAGAATGGCAAGATCAACAATGCGTTGTTAGAGGGCGTCATGGAGCGTATCTGTCGGAAAACTAGACCAAAACATATATTTTTATCCGTTTCAGTAGTGGGAAGGCTTCTGTTTGTTTGGCTCAGCTCTTTGTGGAAAATATTTGGCAGTTACACTCAGGATGCAAGGGAATTTGGAATACCTTTTTTTAAATCCATCACAAACACTGAATTAGAAAGACCGAAACATATATATTTATATATGTATTTGATGCAACTTAGTTCCCACCATGTCACAACAGCCAACGTGGGAGTGGATACAGTCCAGCGAGGAGAAGCACGCCACCGAGAAATCTTATTACGAGAGGCGTGGTGGTAAGGTCGTACCGTTTGCTGTGACTGGAGCGTAAGCATAGTAAAGTGTTGCTCTCAAGCACCCACCATTTATGGAAGCCATGTTACCTTCACCTAAGGAAAGACGAGTTCACCCAGTTTAACATGGTTGAAATACCTCATGAAATCAAGAGTCTGGTGCAGCTCCAAAGAGACCTTCTGCGCGCAGTGGCATCAGGAGTCAGGCTTACTTGCCTCACCCTTTGCGTTCTTGGGCTAGGTCAGCCCCCATTGCTCTATTGTTCAGCTCTTGTAGTCACAAGTTCGGTGTACAGGAAAGTCTGAATCCTGCAAGTGATCACAAAATCTCGGAATCTACTGATACCATCAACTCCACTAGACGCCTATCAGACAGCCCTGCATCAAAGGCAGACAGCGCGAGACAGTGTATGACCAAGATCAAACAGTGCCTCTCAACAAAATACCTTGAGACCGTTGTACTTTCGCAGTCGCTTCATCACAATAAAGCTGTTGTGCTCCTTATCGGTGACTCTTTTTCCTGCACTAGGCCTTGGAGCAGGGACAGCAGATTGGTATAACAGACTGACGACGTAGTCAGAAATAACAATGCCAATCCACCATCTTCTATGAACTACCGTAGCTCAACAGTATAAGTTTGAACTAGCTCAACAACTCTCTACAGTAAACAAATACTGCACTAGTTTAACGGTGGATACTACTGATTGGTACATGCGAGTAGTGTATTTTCTCGTAAATCCGCTTCGCGTCCCTTGAAAAGTGAGATCTATTACGGAATTTATGAAATCGCATTTGCTTGCACTTGGGCAACAGTCGATGAATATCCAGGAAAGTTCAGAAAGACGCATTCATGGAGAAGACTGATATTCAGTTTTTGTAAACAAGATGCATATGAGAGTTCTGCTTCCCTGTCCAACAGTTTTTAACTGTTCACTTGGCGTTTTTTGATAAATAACTGCAGCGAAGGCCTTCTTCTTTTCTCTGGTAGCCAGCACGTGGATGAAGCATGGCAAAATATGGAATAAGCTACGTAAGCGGTGCTCAGTGCTATCTTCCAGACTCCTCCGGTACAGTCAAATAAACACTGGATGTCGTCGAAATCGCTAGTTGTGATTGATGTCAGGAAGTCTATATCAGGAGGCAGAGTACGACGAACCACACAGATCCCTCAAATGCCGAATGATGGGACTGTTTTTAGCGCCCGACAGTGGTTATCTTCCTTCATCTGAAATCTACCATTGACTCTGAACCATCAGGCAATATGACAATGTCCGTGGAGCAAAGGTGTTGACTCTCGTTTAGGCACTGTACACCAACTCCCGTGGACTTGTGAAGGCCTACGAAAGTTCTAACCTGGGTTCGCCAGATCAAGACTATGCTCTTTTACATTTCCTCTTCAAATCTGTCGTGCCAACCTATGATGTCCGTGGGGCCGAGGCGCTTCCGGAGCATTGGCTCAGAGATGCCGAATACGCAGACGAAATAGCTCTTCTTGGATCTGACGCCGTCCTACTACAAGCAATATTAAATAACTTAATTATGCCCCACAGATTGGCGTGCGCTTCACATCTACAAACTGTGAAGTGCTGGTACAAGGATGGTTGGGCTCGGAACCTAACCTCATGCTTGAGGATGAGCCGCTTGAATTAGTAGACAAATTTGTTTACCTGGGCAGCTGTATCAGTCCCGGTGGTTTGGCGAAAGATGATATTTCCGTATTGGGTAGGCCAGAGTAGCTTCGTGAACCTGCATCACTGTGGTGTAGACGTGACATCAGGTTATCCTTCAAAGTTCAATTTTTCCATGTTTTTCCATGCTGCGGTGAGCTGCATGTAACCATACGGATCAGAAAATTGGCAGCTGCGCGCCGAACACGTCAAGAGATGTCCATAGTTTGACCATAGATGTCTTCGGAGCGTTACCTGAGTCTTATGCGAACAACGAATTAGTAATACTGAAGTACGTCGGTTGGTTTCCGGAAGAGATTCTAGCCACCCTTTCGCCACATACATGACTCTACAGGTCACCGACACTCGCTAGATCACGCGATCTGTCTTTTTCTACACACACAAATCACGCCACACAGTCGTGACTGACTTGACTACGCAGCTCACAGTCAAGCCCNAGACTCACTTTCTTCCCCTACACGTACAAACCACGACACATAAGGGTGACTCATCCGACATCAATTGTCGACCGTCCGATAAGGTAGCAACAAGTCATGGGCTGACACCCACACATGCAAACGCCCCTACATATAGGATAACAGCACAGCAACACAATTCAACTCAACAGAGCTTCACACGTCGCCCAACTCGGAGCAGAGCCGCTGAGGACTTATGGCGTTTCACTCACGGATATTCAGGAATATTCAGGCTGCTACAACAGTGAAGAAGACACGAAATCTGCATCCGAACTTACAACAGGATCTATTAACCTGTACCTGCAAAACGATAAGTCCCCTGTTCGCATATATACCTGTCGTAATAATTTTACTCAGCAAGCTGATATTGTTAAGGCTCCCCGTCTTATCGTTTATACAACTACTTCCCGGGTTCTAGTAGAGCATTAACAAGATAACTCGCCCACAATAGATGAACTGATTACACTACACGGGTTGCGCTGGTTGGATCACCTGCTCCTTATGCCAGTCAACGGATTTTTACGAAGGGCTCTTTTTGCACAACCCCGCGAAAGGTCGAGACGAGCCAGGGGAGGTCAAATACTGGCTTGGTAGCGAAGTACAAAGACGATTACCAGAAATCTCAGCTGAGCTAGTCATTACGATTTCCTTCAATGGGAACCCCGAGATGGGATACATCAGTGGTTAGAGACATTGTCAGATATGGTGCAGTCGCACCCTTGATGGCATCCCTTCATCCAAGCCATTGCCCCCAATGTGTGCATAGCTCCCCCCAATCTCTCCAAGGAGACATCTACTGACGGCCCTGTATTTACGTATCAAGTATATCATCTACCGCCTCTAATGTGTAGCTAATCAGCCCAACACCCCAAATCATTGGTGAACGAAATTGCGGCAGCTATAACCGTTGTAGGACAAGTACACAGTTCTTACGCCTGATAATGATGACCCCTCAGCCGGCCAGAATATGCCTAATTGAGCCGTGTAAACCAATTACCTCATAATACGATTAATTCCTACTTGATTTACTTGTCTACAGCAGAAAAAACCGCTGACGACCATGAAAGATAATAAAAATTGGGCAAGGGGCATAGGCAGTTTGCCTGTGGAACTGTTCATGCTAGGAGGACCGACCCTCCAGAACAGAATTCCCAACATGTCATACACCTTTTGAGAGGCAGGCGTGTGGTACAAACAACCTGTACATTGCGGTCGAGCAGGGACTTTAATAACGAAGCAAACTAGGGCTACAATGCATCAGTGCTCGTTTTCAGTCGTCACTTGAATAATCAGTGAATACAACGACCCATTTAAGTAACACAGGTATATGCATCTGGCTTTTTGATGTACTCTTCTGCAATGCCGTGATGTTGGATTGAAACGTGCAGGTTGACGGCAAAAACAGAAACGGAGCAGTCTGGAGTGTAAGTTGGAGCATTTGATGAACCTCACATACTGCAAACCAAGGGAAATAAAGTGGAAGGGTCTCTTTAAATAACCTTTCGGTGGGACGGCAAAGTAAATGGCAGTCAGATGATGAGTAGAATTCCCATAAGGGTATCCAGCTCATCTCTCTAAGCATAGTTAGCACCCGAGTATAGAGCTCTGTCAGGGAGGGAGAGGCATGAGTTACGTTGAATGGTAACGGCAAAATGGTTGGATGTTGGTTTATTTCCACATAATCAGGTTAACTTCTCGCAAAACCTCGAATTTTCAAACCCTTGAAACTAAATGCCTCCTTATAAATAACATCTGTTCGGTATTCCACAGTGAACCGTTTCTCAGTCCTGTCACAGAACTACAAAGAGGGTGAATAAACACTAGCATTACCGCCAAGTAGTCCGTTCGGCTATTCGTTAGTTGAGATGTCAAGCCCTTGCACTTGATAATCAAATCAACTGTCACTTTTTATGGCTTACTTTGATCAGTTTGTCGGGGAACTCCTTCACAAACTCTTCAATATTCACCCCGCCTTCAGCGCAACCCAATAAGATCGGCGAAGCTGACTCGGTGTCCAATACGATGGCCAAGTAACGTTCGTATGCAATGTATTTTCGCTCGGCCAACATCAGGGCATTGCACAACTGTCCGACGCTTCCGGTCTGTGCGGTGAATAGTCGTTTCCCAAGCATATGTCCTGCCAATTCTAATGCTTCTGGCTTGCTGTAGAATAAATTAATGCAAAACCGGTTTCAGGGGTTGTTTCAGCGAATTTTTTTTATTAACATGGTTAGATTAGTTGCTTTCAGTTGATTAAATGTCTGTTTAATCCAAGCACAAAACCGACAGAAGCAATAAGATAAAATTATTTCAGGAATTCAGGATTGCTAGGCTTGCAAAGTGGGTAAAACTGGTTGTAACATGTGGAACCGAAGACAAGTTAATCTGAGGCTGTTTGTTACCAGAGTTGGTATTTAGTCACAGTAATTACAGAAGTCACAAGAATAATAGTTATTCAGCTGTAACACCCTCCTAATGCCTAGTGTAACGTTTACCCTTCCGCTTAATTACTCCTTCAATCAACTACACATCTGAACCTACTACCTCCATCCTGCTTTGTTTATCATAATCACGTGTCAATATCGTGACATGAATACGACTTTGACGGCACGACCTGACATGTCAATAACAGGTGAACTCTGGTTTCGTGACCTTTTGAAGGACGCCATGTGATTCCCCATTACTGTTTCCACGTTCCACCTTCATTGCAACGATCCATAAATGATGGCAACACGGTCAAGCACACACACGTATCACGGAAAAAGGTGCACGTCCGCAGTTTCGGCTGAACACAACAGCCTGAACAACCCACTTCACACTTTGGTATTGGCTTGACTAACTAACACAGAATCGCTAACCGTCAATGCCCTCTGGTTATCCGGATTATCAACGTAGTCAATTGGAAGCCATATCAACACGATATGACCTCAACTTCTGACCTATTTTTTGGGAGATTGTATTTATATTACTCAAGGCGCATATAGCTTTGGTACCATATCTGTCCTGTCGTAACCACATTTTATGAGTACTTTAGTTACAAACAGACACACTAATATTAGCTGTCATGTCACTCGACATTAATGCGCGCTTTTTCTCAGATATTGAGCTTGGATCGAGGAAATGGGTCTGCATTTCATCTGCTTTGGTAGCACGTCTTTCATTCAGTGGCTTAACTCAGAAAAATATAGTTTTCAAGACCAAAATATGCTCGTTTACTCCCTTAAATGCTGATGTGTCGAAGAGCATTTTGGACTTACCGCTAAACAGCTCTGGGAATTGATAAAAGAACACTTCACTCCGGATTCTTAGGCTAACAAACATAAAAGGCGACAATCAGCTTCATTTTGGTACGAGCTCGCACAGTCCAATGCATGGTGCCAAAACAGAACTAGTCTATTCTTTTTAAAGTACCCACTCGCAAACTTAGGACACATAGCACCAAGCAGCAACGGTGGCCGATGCCATTGCCATCCGACGCTTACCCCGGTCTCTCGTTGTCAAAAACTGCTTGTGGATGTACTAGCACATGGCGTGTACCGGTGTTGAATGCACCCGCAAAATAACCATCTCTGGTAAATGCGTTCAGGTCATCCAGTTGACGACACGGTGCCCAATACCATCCATTCCACAGGCATTTCGTAGACGACTTCATATAGCTCTGACTCAGAATTCGAAGCAATCTTCTTGCTGTTCCTTCAAGTGGTAAGCTTAGGAATTTTACTTTTCAAATCACTAGAGAAGTCCTATTGCAGCTGACTTCATTCACCTCATGATAATTCCCTCACTCATTTGCTTACTCCCTTATGTACTTTTGACGCTCCACTCGTTTCGCTTATCTGTACCCGCCAGTCACCTTGCCGCAAAGGCCACCCCTTCCGACACTTATGCATTAACATGTTTGTGGGAACATGCGCCGCTGACCTGCTCATCCATGCGCGTTCGTTTACGACTTTCTGAGCCTGTCTTGACTTGTTTTCTTATGAGACCTGCGTGATCGCACCCCCACGAAACTGTTGTCGAAAGGAGCAACCGCAACCCACACTATTGGGCCAACGTTTCGCTTACCGTTTTTTTGGCGCGCGGACGTTGACACAGCATTATTCCGGTCAATGACAGAATTGTGCACTTGTTAACGCTACGGGCATGAATTGAGGTTTGTGGAAATAGTACCGTAGAATCTCAAAACCAATTATTCTTTTTGATATTTGGGATTGTCGAACCTACACGTCACTCAAACTTCCGTGTCGGCAACCTCAACGAGCCCACCGAGCCAAGGTTTAAACTGTTCCTACTGGTGGTAGTTTATTTGGTAGGCCACTACTTATACTACAGCCGTGATCTCCCGGCTACTAGCTTGGTCACTTGACCGTTAGGCCACGAGTTGCTGCACAGCAGTGTGACCAGCTCACACTTGGGATGCCGCGCCACGCATCCTTCGATCGTGGAATCCAGGGCACTTGTAGTGGCTTCGAACCTCTCCCTCCAGATTTTCGTGAGTTGCGCACTGTTGCCGAATCCCAATAAAAATGAAACAGCTGTACAGTGTTTCACAGTGTTTCAAACATAGATTACTTTCTCTTACATGAAGTAATCTTCATAAAAACTGGATCACTGGAGGCAAAACATTGAGTAATACTCAAGTATCGAACAGTTCACTGGCTGCAGCTTTGGGGTCACAGTTCCTGACGTGTTGATGTTGTCTTATATGGGCCCATGGACCACTGACGATGGACAAGGGTTATTGACATGAAAACGCTATTAGAACTCTTGGTGCTATTCGAAGGATTTGGGTTTTATTACAAAATTCCCTAAAAAAAACAGCTAATTCCGCGAAATACATTTGCAAACTAATTTGGTTTTAATGCGAGATTTAACTGAAACCACAATGAGCCTCTGGTTTGTGATATTCTTCACCTGAATGTTCTGCACGAAGGCCGCCTCCTTTTCATTTGGTAAGATATTCAAGATATCGCAGTATGTGTCCTTGTCCGAACTTATAAGAACTTATAGGATGGCTAAAGAACAACCCAGCGGAGAAATTCAGCTGGGATTCGGTTGAGTCTGCTGTTAGAACCAAATTGGTTTGATTGCACTTTGCATTACACGCTAATTATATTGTAGTTAATTATGTTTGATTGCATTCTCTCATATCTCATTATATTCTCTTTTGTTTTTATTTCATTGATGAATCCTCAGATAATCTGCTTGACCATCTTGGATATTCCGGCGCGCTAAGCAGACGGTGTTACTCGTAATCTTCTCAAGCCACCGTTTTATGGAGCAGACGGACTGACTCACACTAGCCGCCCATGTAGGAAACCCGGTCCGAATGACCGCCGTGAGCCAAATCATGGGCTAACGCTTTTTCGTCCTTGCATGATTTTTTGAATTATGGGTTGTCATTTGAGCGTATCTATGACTGTCCAATCCTTCAGACATTGAGGCGTTCGGACATCAGCCCAGCTCCAACATGTGGTGTTACGGTTTTCGAGCAGAAGTCCATCGGTGCAATTTAATATAATGAATGCTGAGTTTCAACTAAAACTCTCATTTATGATATACTTTAAGTGAATGTGCTGAACGAAGACCACCAAAATCGCTCAGCAAGCGAGCGTTTAATCTCATTTTAAATTACAAATTAGGATTGATAGTAGTTCAGATGTTTTATAAATGGTTTGAGATCGGTTTCAAGCCGCCCGAAGTCTTTCCTCACCCCTCACATACATAAATAATTTGAAGAAACGTTTTTTCTAGTGTGGCCGTAACTGTGGTTGGTGTCCATGTGGCGGTAAGTGGTGGGAACTGTTACCCACAGCGACCGATCCTACTACACCCACTTGTTTCCTACGAACAAGGAAGCGCTTGCTGGGTTGGTTTTCAGGATTAAGTGAATTTCGCCGTTATGACCGAGTAAAACCACTGTACAATCCGACATATGGATCAATTTGCATACCAGCCTGGCATTCAATGGGAGGCTGACCTAAAACCCAGCTGAATCTATCGTTTATTATACTGTCTTTATGAAAATATACTGCTATGTCTCGAAAATTGCACCAGATGAAACATGAAGCGGCCTGGTTCAACAAATGCAGATGAAGAAGAATATCAGTAACCAGTCTTTCAGCTGGGATTCAGGTGGGCCACGCATGAAAACCAAATTGGTATGCAAATAAGTATATTTGTCGAAATCGGTCTCATTCGAGATCAAGCAGAACATAAGGTCGACGAAACCTCAGGGGTTGTGCCCACCTGATGAACTCAAACTGGAAGGTCGAAACCGATCATTCGCTCTCTAAGAGCGTCCAGCAACCTTGTGAAAACATGCCTTATGAAACTATATCACTACACATTGTTTTCAACCACCCACGCAATATCATAAAACCTTATTTTTCTCTGACATCCGAAGAACAGTGACACAAAAGACACATTTACTGACCATTGCAACGAAACAAATGATAGCGAAGTAGTAAATTCAACTCTGCAATTAAGTATTTTGAATACCAGTTGTGAACAAGTTAGTTTCAGCTTGACAAACGGATTACGGTAGGGAAGCATCAGTTTCAATACTGATGATTGCTGTCCTTGATGATGATGGTGACAGTAAACGAAACACTGAAACCAAAACAAACAGATGACCAGAGCTAAGCAAGCTGTTTGCCAGCGTTTCATCACTAGTCGAGGTGAAATCTTCAGTATACCTTGGTGAAGCAGGCGTAGCAGTTGGTTGTGCACACATGCGCGCCACCACTCATCGCACAATCCCTGACACTATCCTCTTCACTAAGCCCCACTGATGATGTCACCTAGGTTGCTGACGAAAGGTTTGTGACCAACTTCTCTAGCTCAGCGAACGGACCAACGATCGTCAACTCTTCAATTTCAAAATTCATCCCATCAACTATGAGGTACACACCGGTGATATGAAAAGCGTTCCAACAACGATCAAACTCGAGGACCATTAGTGAGTCAGAGAAAAAGGTATATCGAACAATTGTACGGTGGTTCCTCTGGGCTATTCTTTCCTCGTTGTGGCCAATCCTTTTGAAATGGAAATCTGTAGAACTTCATGTGTGTTTATGAAATTCCTGTAGTCTTGAAAGACCCTTCTTCAGCAGCGATATTTTTCCGACACATCCGCCCGTAGTAAACAAAAGTATCATGTCACCATAAAATAGGCTCTATTTAGAAGTCAGGTAGGAGCTATATATGACAAACTCAATCATTTGCTTTGAGCCCGAAGAACGGATTGGTATCAGACTTCGTTATGGAATCAACAAAAAAATCCACGTAGTTAATTACACAGGCATGCACGCATGACTGGGGTGTTTTGTTTGAATACGGAGAACTCGCAGGAAAGTAATCTGGCTCTTTCGACCACCTCGTATACGTTCAAATGGTCCTGTTGGTCAATATGTAACCCATCAGGTTATTGCTGGTTGTCATAGGGACGTGCAGCACACATGATACAAGCGCGCATACCGGTTCGATAACTGTCCAGTCGATCGACTCAAGCAGGTTAGTTATTGGACCGTCAGTCGAGGTATCAAAGTAATCACATCACCCAAGCGTGAGCACGTTCCTCTGCTCACATGCATCCAGCTGGTGCAGTAGTGGTCGCACGCTCGCCTCACATCTCACAGTGACAATCCATGCATCCAGCTGGTGCACTAGTGGTCGCACGCTCGCCTCACATCTCACACGTTCACAGTTCATACCCTAGCATGACTCGGGATGTGCACTGCCGATAACTTCTAATAAAACCAAGTTCAGTGTTCCCTTCCATTGGCCTGGATTCGCCAAATAACTGCACCAACAAGAGAAGTACTGTTCACAGGAGCGATATGGACGTGAATTCTACAATCGCAACTACCTACGACTGAACTGCTCACATTGGGCCACAGTTTTGGAGTAAGTCAATGCAAAGCTGATAACTAAGTTGATGAATCTACAGCCCTGAAAACTGATCGTTAGCTGCACTAGGGAATCTTTCTTTAGAGTGTTGAAGTTACTGATGATACAGTGTCTTACATTTAGAACACGAGTTGACGAGCGCTATTAATTTCATAATCTCCTCCGGGCAACACGGACAGAATTTTTGTAAAACAAAGAGCGAACGGCGCAAACGTGTAGAAGAAAGACAAAGCGGATTAAAAGTGTGGAAACCTTTAGTGTCGCTATTCATTGGCCCAAGTGACGAGCAGTCAAGAGGACAAGACATAGAAATACAGGACACCTACGATCGCTTTCTGGGTGCGCAAGCCCGGGATGCGTGAACAAACAACTATTGCTTCCGCACTGAAAGACATGGAAATACAAGACACCTACGATCGCTCTCTGGGTGCGCAAGCCCGGGATGAGTGAACAAACAACTATTGCTTCCGCACTGACTTGGAACTGATACCGGTGCAACGCCAGACTCTGTTACATAGTCGGTATCGGGCTTTCGAGCTGCCAGTGAGCTAGTAATAGACCTCCTTGATCCGGTTTTCTGCCAAAGCGGTTTGTGTTACTTCGTCGTGTTGCTCAAACACTGAATCGCGTGACACGTATTTTTTATAACAACATGTCGAACAGAAGACTTCAGTTCTATTCCAGTTCTCAGGTGCATATATGTTTAAGGCACCTGACGGCTTATTTAAGCACTTGGTTTACCAGGAACTAACCTGGATGGAACAACTATCCTACTGAAATATAAAAGTGATTGAGTCCTTCGTCTTACTGACGGAAAAATTTACTTCAAAAACTACACTTGTAGGGTCATTACTCGAACAGAGCCGTTTAATAAAATATGGCTATTACAATCAAGATAATCTAACCGGTCACAACCGAAGGGAAATCTGTTTTCTTTAGTATAGCCTTCAAAGAGGATTTAGCTGCAGACCATCTAAATCGACGTATACATCAAACACTTGGGCGAAACTTTCCTGCCAAAGTGCGGTTTATTATACGTATTCAGCTGATGTCCCTACATCTCAGACGCTGTTGTTTTCTAAATTTGAACTCAGTGTCACTAACGAGGAGAACTGAGAGAAGGATGTGCGGATAACTCGGAAAGGTGTATACGTTTCAGTCATCAGGTCCCTCTTGCCATGTTTTGAGGCATATTTCCACCTCTGACGACTCCATGCTTTGTACTGACGTAGAACTCCATTGGGACTCTTCTTGTTCGCCTCAAAAACATGGACCAGCTGGAGTTTTGTCGCGTGGAGGTCGGGGAACGGACGTTGTGCACTGAATCAGTACGATGAAACTTGGTTAAGCAGTGGTGAAATTGTTCAATGCACCGACGTTTCCGCGCTGGACTTGCTCATGCAATGTTAATACGAGCCACGGCTGCTGGCCACTCAGACGGATAGCTTATGGTATACTAACTGCTTATGTTTTACTGACAGCGTTTCCACCTTAATTTAATGTGTACAATCAACTGTTTTCCCCGCATAGTTAACTTACCGATAGCACGACTAGTCCACATTTGTGCGAACAATTGATTGGTTTGCCGTGCTCACACAACCTGAGCCTGAAGGGCCTTGATGTACCGCTAGCAAAAGAGTAAACTCGACCGTGGAGTAAACTACGATGGACATCATCTAGGAGTTGGCAACAAAATGGCAGTGTAGTGTTTTAACTCCTGGGGAGGTTCCGAAACCTGTACAGTTGAAACCAGGTAACCCAGTGCTGGTCAAGCAGACAAAATCTGCCTCTCTTTTGACTACTGTCTTACATATCATCAGTTTATTTGTGTTCGGGTCAACTGCAAACAGAGAAGTGTATTCTGATAGACGTAACTAGGCAGAATCGTTTCCTGAGGTCCAAACGATATCATTTCCTCTGCCAACTTGTTGGGGAATTCCACAGTCTTTCGGTTTTTGGTCTGTCAACTGACGTAAAGGCGATGAGCATTAGAAGGTTACCACACATATTCGAGAACAAAAGTGTTTGAAATTTAAGATTCATGGAACAGTTTTTAGCTTCAGAATTGTCAGAATACTGACAAAAATCCAAAACATTCGAGGCGTGAATTATGGACAGAATGGCGATGTACTATTCTTATTTGGCGAGCGCGCAAGTACACATTCCCAAACACCCAAGCGCACAAAATCAGACAAACTGCACCGGCACATGTCACGTTAGCTATGTCCTCGTTTCAGATGTCTGGGCAAAAAAGGTATGGCGTCTCCCAAAATATTGACTGCATCGTCGCAGAAATGAACCGAATTGATCCATACGGTGCGCAAAATAGACATGTGTTTACGTGTTTCTACCGCAATAACTTGGTCACTTATGATAAAAAGGGATTTTTTGAACTGTGTGGAAACACATACAAAACTGGTTTAATTGGACGGAAATATTCTGTGGCATTATTCCTCTCTTTAGCTGAGACAAGCAGGATGAGAACCCGAAATATTCATGTGTTGCTGTGATCGGCAGGCTTCGTTCCACTTTGTCTCAAACTTGGCTTTGTTCTCGAATGCTGAATGTTCAGAAGACGTTTAGTTCGTGAGTGACAACCGTATTTGGCTAGAGGAAACGTAGGCTGGCCTACAGTGTTCAGTATGTAGGTTAGGTAGGTAGGGTTGACAGAAATAACTACCTGACACCCTTAGAAGAGTTTGTTGGAATATTATTATTAGTCCGGATGCATTCACTGATATTTGATCGGGTAGCAGCACTCACTGCGTTCACTGATTGTGTCTTCTTGGGTGGCGACGAACAGTCTGCAATGAGTGATGAACGGAGCAATGGCCGCCTGATCAGCTACCAGATTTAAGAGAAAGCACCCTAAACAAAGGCAGATTACATCCCACGTTTTCATGAATATTTCGGTAGAATAAGAAGTGTGACAGTTGCTTGGACGTATAACCGACATACTCGAGTGCGATTTTCACCCCTCCCTGAAGTCCGGTTTCCCATTTGCCCTTACCACGTCCTCCGGTAAGAACTTGAGCCTTGATAACAACATCGGAGTTGGTTGAATTCTTCACTGTTAGGAGGGGATAAAGGAGGCATTCGGAGATGAATTTCAGACCCATTCTCAACATGATGCCAGTAATTATGCTTCTGTCTGTGATGTAATGGGTCAGCAACTTTGGTCAGGCGGTTACTTGGAGGGAACTTAAACGTATATTAGCAGTAATCCAGTAATATGACTATACCAATTTACAAATAATATTCACGCATGTTGGACTCGCTGTTATTCAACTGAGGGTATTTATAGCGGATTCAACATGTAGATAGACCTCTTTGAATTGGTTTCTCTGATTGGAAAGCGACCTAATTCTAAACCAGAGGCCTGGCAAAAGGTCTCGGGTCACTGATTCAACTACCATGTTTGGGATGCTTCTAAAGTTTCTGGCCTAACGAGATGAACGAAGTGGTCATACCCCTGCAGTATTTCCTGAAATTGCCTAAAACTAGTCTCCTTCAGCACAAAGACTACTGTGTACTCGTTATTTAAGATGTAAGCCTACCATTGCAAAACTGTACCGAAGAGTAAAAAGCGTCGGCGCAAAGTGCACCGTTCCTTTGCTTCAAAACCTTTTGTCATTTGAGTATCCATGATAGTAATAAATTGCTACCATTGAAACGGAAAACATCTTCAAGTGCTGATAGCTGTTTAATGAGAAGCCCGAACAAAGCCATCTGACACGGAAGTAAGAGCCACATTTGTGCCTCCTAAGCGTCATCCTGAGACGTGAGTACGTGACAATAATGAACAAGCATAAGTAAGCTGTTCAGTAATTTCCGAATCAATCTTCCCCCAGGGACAGGAACCGTGCTTTGAACTACCTTGACCAGATACTACTCACGAGTTCCGTCAGAAGGACGAGCCGTTACACTAGTAACAATTGGAAGCATGCTGTCTAACGATTGTCATATATTGATGGTGATGTGAAAAGGCTCTTACTTGAAATATCGTCCTATAAGTGGAGCCAATCTAGGCTGAAAATCCGAGAAGCACTGTGCATCTGTTTCATCCATATTGAAGAGTACCTGCAGGGCGCATCTCACGAAATACGCGAGTTGATCATAGTGCCGGTCAGCCGCTCGTTGGTGAGATCACCGTTATCAAGTATTTTAAAGACTATATGGGCTTGTATGTGACAGTTGTGTGTAGCCGGTAGCTGCAGAGGAAATTCTGAACGCTAAGATATTATAAAGGATAACCTTTTTAAGTCTTCATACAAAACCCTCAGCCAGAAAATTTCACAGGTTTGCACCAAAAAGGTGATAAATATAGAATTTCTGAATTAGGTTACTATCACAGGAGACAGTGATTCAAATGCAACCAATAGTGCATGACTATGAAATTAGGCTTTGCACTGTCACTGATGAGGCATGAAAGCTTCGGCAAAAACAGCTAACTTCCGCTGATTTTGTGGGCTCTATGGTGATTAGTTCAGACCTATGGGTCACATGTCGGATGCTGCGTATGCGAGAAACAGCCCACTCACTGGCTTTTAAAGTGAAGAAGTGTTGTCAAAAGTTCAGTGAGTCGGAAACGTGTCTCAGGGAGAAGTTATCTGGGTGTTTATCTTTATCTTTAAAACGACATGTGACAGTCCGTAGCGTGTGAGCGAAAAAAAGCAAGCCTAGGGTTGGACCCAAACTACCTCTTTCCCGTCTGCGGCCTGATGACAGGCCTGGCCTGGCGGTGACAGATGAACCGATACGAATAGTATTACAAACACAAACTGCTTGTCTGTTATACACAGGGCTACCGTGCACTCGACTTTCAGCCCATTAGGAAAACCTGTGAGACCTTCCTCTTCAACATGTCACCGTAAATTTGACGCCAAAAAGTGTTGCAAGCTATCTTCTAGAGCTATTCCATAAACGTTGCTGTCCGTGGGGGGAAGCTTGTGCTAAGATTCATCGAACTGGCTGCATTCATATAGTCTCGGGGGGTTCATAACTGAAGTTACTTGCCATCAATTCAACTAGCTGCTGTCCTGATTGCATACATATAGTCATATTTGCTAGCCTGAGGCTATCTAGTTTGAAATGGGTTTGGTTACCCAGCTCTGTCTCGGGCTCTGGTAGATTGATTAATCTTCGAGAATTTCCTCTAGATAATAATTCTACCTTTGATCAATACGTCTTAAAAGGACAAGGGATTTATCCCTTTTAGTTTAGTTCATCTTCATGTTACACCCTCCAAAGTTTGGTAAGTCTGATTTTGAATTGGTCCTTCACTTACTCAGATGGTTTTACACCTCTTTTAATGTTTGTGAAGTGTCTCAACGTGTTGGCTGATTGGTAGCAAAGAAACCACGTTAATTCTCAGTACGAACCATTCGATATGAGTGAAACGCTGATCAGAAACAGGGCAGACGAGTATACTATGTGACGCAAATTGAACTTGGATACTTGCTTACGAATTAAAGGTTTATTCAGTGGGATACGCATGAAAACCAGAGCGAAAATAAACTTACCAATCAGGTCATATCCCCGTGCAACTTCCTCCATGTTGCGTGCAATTACAAACTGCGGAACTTTCAAACCTGATTCATGTAGTAATTCCATCCCAGCATGCTCCATCAATTTTAGACCACGAAATATTCGTTTCTACAGGTATTCACTAGAAAACCACTTTACGACTCACATTGAAACAGGCATCAGCTGCCCTACGAAAAAGGCTTTGGGTGAACATCCTAGGAAGCGGCTAAGCAGTTTGCCACTGATTTTAATCCCATCACCCGACTTCATGTCACCATTCATTCGGATCGCGATCTGCACAGCTCGCCTCCAATTGGCTAAGAACTGCGTAGGCGATTTGCACCCGCCAAGCCAGTGTTCTGTAGGATAACTATCCGGGTTCTACCTACGCCAGATGCAACATACCTTACTACATCCTCTATGTTTAGGTTATACCTTGACACAAGTACTGTTTCGTCGGAGAAAACGTTTGCTTAGGGATGCAACAAATTCACACCTACAAAAAAACCACAGGATTGCCGTAGACTATTGATATTGTAACATAAATTACTTAAACAGTTTGTCTCGAAGTACATTTTAATCTTTAACTCTGGTTATTCCTCCCTGAGGCTCAGCAGACTGCTGGGTTTTCTGGCCATCATAATATGTTCGGTTTTTAGGTTAATTTACAACACCTGCATCCAAACTCCATGTTTTTGATACAAAGTTTGGTTCTCTCCAACAGCAGCGCCCTGCTAATGGAATACAACACTGGCAAGTAAATGGATAATTCTATGCTGCATTCCGGATATTTGGTTCATCTTCGGCTCAGGGCTACAAGTAAGGTTGCGGAACCACTACGGTCTGCTGTACCCTCCGGTATGAATGTCTCACACTACATCTTGAACGTTCCACAATCAATCAATCGATTCCACACCTTTTTTAAAACTCCTAATTATGCTGCTAAAATGTCCCTGACAACATCAGCAGAACGAGAGGTTCTCCCTAACCTTTTGGGACATTTCCGCAGTTGTCAGTGCTGCTAAAATATCACGTAAATGAGTTATGAACTACTGACAGCGACTGAGTAGCTAACCGAATGTGTTAAATGGAATGCGCATTGTTGGAAACGATATCTTCAGATCTGCACCAACGACCATCAACAACCTAAATTGTCTTTGCAACATGATGAGAGATACTTGTTTGTTGCAGAGTTCCCCTAGCGGTACTGGCCATATATTGCAACCTCCATGAGTGTTGTTGAGTTGCGAATATTTACCACTCTCGTTCGTTGACACCTATTTTCGGATTTTGTTTGTAGACGGTGCGCAAAATTGCTCGTGTGTAACCTAATTAGGATATGTACTCGAAAGATTTTGTTGCCGACCCTGTTACTGACGATGATCATGACGTCGTGGCACACAGGCTTAGGTTGACTTGCTAATAAAGCTCTGTTGACGCTATGATTAAAGTTAGCACACTGGTTCCTTGAACACTGAAGGCCATCTTGTCGCCGTTTGCCAATGCGAAACAATATTGTGCAGCAGAAAAATTAGCGACTAATAAAGCTCTGTTGATGCTATGGTTAAAGTTAGCACACTGGTTCCCTGAACACTGAAGGCCATCTTGTCGTCGTTTGGCAATGCAAAACAATATTGTGCAGCAGAAAAATTAGCGCCTACCACAGTCTTAATCTCTGCCCAAATTTACCAAGTGTTTCCCTGTAAAATGTAGCCGCTACAACCATGGAATTCGTGTACAACCGTGGATGTAGTTCAGCAACGTTGATCGATCGAAAAGTGATAATATTTTCTTAGGGTAGTTGTATGAGTCGCAATTGTAATACTATAAAGAGAGATTTTTGTTATAAACATTATCGTCTAACAGTTTACGGGTAAGAGTTTGCTACAGAGAGTAGGAAGTTTATAATTGTTCGTTGGAATTAAAAAATCCATTGCTTTTCTTTCGAATTTAGCAGCATGAAACAGTTTGAAGCCATATAATGAAAAATTCATAATCGTTTAGCCATAACACTCCTTTGGTGCCCGGATGCCACGCCATCCGAAAGAAAAACCAGGAATGAGATACTGCCAGGTTGCCCAAGTCTAGAAAAAAGCAACCGAGATGAGGTAATTAGGTTTGAGTCATGCACCTTAAGTGGATAGGTTCGTGCCTTAACAACTGAGCTATCTCATGAAGCTAAAATCGATAAAGGAATTTCTGATCCGAGATTCTGGCTGTGCTATCAGATAGCTGAGAGAAGGGGCTAGTCTTTCCACCTTAGCTTTGTCCAAAATAAGCACTGTCTCGAGCTGCCTCATATCAAGTGAGAGGGAGAGAGAATACAGGAGTAGGTCTCACAGGGCGTCAAATCGCTTTTCCAGGCTGTGTAGTATGGACACAGGTGTTGACCTAACGTCCGTTCCAATTTATATCTTGAACGATGTCCGTCTGTGAACTGTGTCATATTTATCAAAATGGACAATGATACAACCGCTGTGTTCCTCCAAAACCTCTGTATCCCTATACTATGCTGTGCTCCTCTGGAATATGCGCAGGGTGCACATATTGCCTGACCTAAGCCTGCCTTGTATTAAAAATCCGTTCTTTGCGTTTTCTCCTGAAATCACATGTATACCTTTGTGGTTCAACTTTTGTCAACTTATTGCTTTCCTTGCAGCTGGGGAACCATCCTAGAGGCTTTTCGATGAGATCCTTCTAGTTCATAACAGTCGCTTCCGGTGCCTTGAAATTAGCCCGGTACACAGTATTTCAGAAGTAGGTGAATTGTTATGCAGTCACTAGTCTTGAGAAAAAAACTCTCCGTCCCATAGAAGGATGAAGTTGGTAGGATCAGAAGAAGCCGGCCATCCCTACCGACAGCTCTTTGGGGTTTAAGTCACCTTCTTTCTGCACCCAAGGATCACGAACCACATCAAGCGTGACGAAGGTAATGCACCCAGGCAGAGGGTTGTGGCTCCTTCCCAGCCAAGATAGAGATATTGTTACTTGGCTACTTACACAAACCCAGACCGAGAATTTCCAAAAGAATCCCTTAGTTTTGATCGTTCAAGCCGTTCAAGAAAACAGAACAACCTTCCAGGTATTGGTCGATGTCACTAACATCAACCCACCAATCCAGCTGCTGTGCTCAAGGAAGTCTGTGCGAAAATGCGAGTCCCTCAAATCATTTAACAGACGAGATAACTGCCACTTCAGTTCCTCGAAGACGCTAAGCTCATCCACGACGGTGTTAAAGCTATGTCGAAATACCTCGTAATACAGGAAATCGTGCTTAGATCAAAATATACTATGCATACGATAGTCAAGTTGTTTTTTCAGTAGCATCTATGCATTCATACATGAATTTTATAATATGAATCTCATTTTTGGAAACGACGGGTCGTCAGTCATCCACTTCTCGTCACCTTCGCTTCAACCACGGAAAAATGCAGTTATATAAGCTCTCTATACTTTCAAAGTTACTTACGAAATGGACCCGATCCAAAAAGAGATTTATGTGAAGGGAAACTGCCTAGACCATCAGGCACTCCACTGACCCCAATCACCTGACCTTAAATCTTCATGCGACGAACGGTGAGGTAATGGTGTGCGATCATCCATTGATCATCCATTTGTTAACGGCTCCAATGTTAACTACGTCTCCAAATGAATCTATCGAGACTAGCCTGAATAGAGGTGCTTAAACATTTGGATGTTTTACAAATCACCTTGGAAGATATTGCACTCCGTTTTTTGATGTCACATCGGCAAACCATGAATTTATACAGGAATTTCGGGAAAATTGTGGTAGGATTCTTACACCTGAGTTGTAAAGGCATATCAAGGTCCAACTAACCAAAGCCCTTACTTGACAACGAAAGCTCCAGAGGCGAGATTGGACATCTTGCACAAGACTAGATATCTAGGAAAACTGAAGTGTCCATCTTGCATTGCATCCATTGTAGCAGTTAAGAGATTCATCGATCTGACTAAGCTCGCGCTAGGCCTTTCTTATCTGAAGAGACCTTCTACGACTCATCATTAGCCCCATTACATGCATCAGAACCGTTTTACACGGCTTCATAAAAGGGTAACATATTATCAGGACTTGATTCCTCGGAGTCATTGCTTGAGGTAAATGTGTAAGACTGGTTGTCAGCGTTGATCAGGAACTCAACCGCTATAACATACTTTCATTTGGAGTTTGTTATTTGATGTGTGGATGATACTCTCATTACTGGTTCCTAACCAACGACTCCCAAATGAAGTCAGAGTAAGTTTTCAGCGGTATCCTTCATTAACCTAAAAACTTAGAACTGTCAGTTCCTCTCAGCCCAGTTAAGTGGGTTTATCTCTGATTCATATGGACGTGAGGATTTCCGCCATTAACAATCTGTCTATGTCGGAAGATTTCCTATCGTTGTAAATGTTGTAGTGGTCAATTTCGGGACTCGTGGAAGTGAGTACCGGTCTTTAACAGACGAGATAACTGCCACTTCAGTTCCTCGAAGACGCTAAGCTCATCCACGACGGTGTTAAAGCTATGTCGAAATACCTCGTAATACAGGAAATCGTGCTTAGATCAAAATATACTATGCATACGATAGTCAAGTTGTTTTTTCAGTAGCATCTATGCATTCATACATGAATTTTATAATATGAATCTCATTTTTGGAAACGACGGGTCGTCAGTCATCCACTTCTCGTCACCTTCGCTTCAACCACGGAAAAATGCAGTTATATAAGCTCTCTATACTTTCAAAGTTACTTACGAAATGGACCCGATCCAAAAAGAGATTTATGTGAAGGGAAACTGCCTAGACCATCAGGCACTCCACTGACCCCAATCACCTGACCTTAAATCTTCATGCGACGAACGGTGAGGTAATGGTGTGCGATCATCCATTGATCATCCATTTGTTAACGGCTCCAATGTTAACTACGTCTCCAAATGAATCTATCGAGACTAGCCTGAATAGAGGTGCTTAAACATTTGGATGTTTTACAAATCACCTTGGAAGATATTGCACTCCGTTTTTTGATGTCACATCGGCAAACCATGAATTTATACAGGAATTTCGGGAAAATTGTGGTAGGATTCTTACACCTGAGTTGTAAAGGCATATCAAGGTCCAACTAACCAA